TTAGGTTGTCTTGGAGATACCCAGTTTTGTTTTAGATTTCGACAGTCTTCTGGGAGGAGGATGTCACTGCATTGTCTCCTGGATCAGTTTGACAAAGATTTACCAGTTTACTTAAAGGTTGGAAAACTAGTCATAGAAAAATGTCCATGTGAGAGGAAACTTTAGAACTCATTTATTCAGTTACCTCTGATACCATTCAGAAATATTTTGCTTTTGTTTTGCTACTATATTATGTAACTAAATTTCCTAAGTGAGTCTTATTCATAAGGATTCAGCATGTGAATGAAAGAGACTTTATACAGCTAGTATGCTTGAAACATAATGTCATTGTGAATTATTAAAATGGTGGTGGGCACCTGTAATCCCAGCTACTTGGGAGGCTGAGGCAGTAGAATTACTTGTACCTGGTAGGTGGAGGTTGCAGTGAGCGGAGATCAGGATGCCACTGCTCTCTATCCTGGGCGACAGAGCAAGACTCTGTCTCAAAAAGAAAAAAAGGATTAGAATGTTAAGGTAATTTTCTTTCATTTGTTAATAAATTCTTGAATTATATGTGGGAGTGGAGTTGTACTATACAGTAAATATCATCTAGAGTTGAGGGTAGTCATTCTTGATGATAACATATAGTTGTCTCTTTTTGATTTTTGAATGGGTTTTGTTTTATAGTTATTTATTTCAAATATTTTAATAATTCAGATAATCTTAGAGTCTAGATTTTTCTTCTTGGTACTGCATGCTTACATCTTTAACTACATGAGGATCGTTTTCATTTGGATGCCCTATCAGCACCTCCAGTGTGACTTTGACATAATTTGCCTGGTAACAGTTTCTACAGTTTACTTCCCTGGGTTCCACTAATTTGCCTGATAACAGTTTTTACCGTTTACTTCTCTGGTTCCTCTAATAGTAGAGATACTACCTGTGAAATGTTTCTTAGCACCATCTCCTCCTTGCTATCATTACTAATATGTTCTTCCAACCAATAATAATAATAGCTGTTATTTGTTAGGGCTTTTTGTGTTTTAGATACTATATTAATAAGCATATATCATCTAGTTAATCCTCCCTACAGTGCTCCAAGAGAGTTCCTTTTGCAGATGAGGGAATTGAGGGCTATTGAGGATAAGAAATTTACTCAAGGACATCCATCTCTTGTTTTATTCCAGTACAATGTGTCTTATATAGTATTGCCAGCTAAAGTGTACATATATATTATAAAAATAAAATCTAAAATGACTATGAATTATTTAATTAGTAAAGGGGTATAGTATTACTTCCTTGTCCTCACTATTTGGACCTTCCAAAATAAGACCTTTATTCTATCAAAATTTCACCCTCATCTCCTTTCTACATGTGCCGTATATGTGCCATATTTTAGTCAAACTGAACTATGTATTATTTCCTGAGAGAACATGTATTTTTCTGTCTTTTTGTGTTTTTACTGAAACTCCTAGCCCTTTCAACTTGGAATGCCTTTGTCTTTAAGTTATATCCATTCTTCAATGCCAAATTCAGAAACAGCTGCCTCCCTGTAATCTTTACTCTTTCCCCTTGACTTTCCTGTTACACTTTGTGCTTTTTCATGGTACCCACCTTCTTATTACAATAATACTCATTTTTGTACATTTCTTATTCCTTCTAAATCATGATATCCTTAAGGAAGAACTGTGTCTTATGCATCTTTTTATCTTCTCTAACACAATACCCTATTCAAAGTAGGTTGTCAATATATATTTGTTTAAGGAATAATAATCAAATAAGGAACTGAGCCAAAGTTTATTCCATTAAGATGTAAACACTTCTTAAAATTTTAGAATGCAATTTTCTTTCAGATTGTATATTGATAAACGTTGTGATGCTTCAGTATTATTGGGTTAATGTATAACTGACTATAGAAGATCCAGATTGTCATTTAACTTCTTTTATTTTCTCTCTTGAAATTGTATGTTAGGGTACCTCATTTTGTTTAAAGATTGACTCCTTATCCTTGACAATCTCAAAATTGTAGGTAGAATTTTTTAGAAACTAAATATAACATTGGGAAAAACAGAATTTGACTGTTGTTTAACTTTCACCTATTATAGATACGAATAAAGAATGTAAGCTGAGTAAGTTATGGGGGAAAATCTGACTTTAATACTTACTTTGTGATTAGTACTTTGCCATCGTTGGGCAAGTTAGGAGGGTTTTTCTGTTTTAATTTTAAGTTTTTACAAACATTATATGGACCATGTCAAGAGTTGGAAGGTTCTGATCTGGCTGTTGCTGTCATGATTATTGTTTGTTGGCGGAAAAGCATAACTAGCTCTTTGTGTATATCTCATGTCTTGATTTGGGTTTATAAAGGAACCTGATGTTAATAGTAAAAGATATGGATATAGATACAGATAACACATACATATGTACTCCCACACACATTTACTTGTCACTTTCTTCATAGAAGGATCCTGCTTATTTTTATGGATATGTGTATTTCCGACAAGTTCGAGATAAAACTCTAAAAAGAGGCTACTTTCAGAAGGTAATTGTCATATACACTAATAAAAGAGTATTTTTTTATTTTGTGATTAGAAAAATAAAAACTGTTAGATTTAAGAGTCTTTAAAGTCTTTGGTATTTTATCTTTAAACATACTTGGATTTATATATATAAGTGTATATATAATGTGTGTATTTATGTATATATATCTTTTTTTTTTTTTGAGAGGAAGTCTTACTCTGTCACCCAGGCTGCAGTGCAGTGGCGTGATCTTGGCTCACTGCAACCTCTGATTCCTGAGTTAAAGCAATTCTCTACCTCAGCCTCTGGAGTAAATGTGATTATAGGTTCCTGCCACTACACCTGGCTAATTTTTTGTATTTTTAGTAGAGACGGTTTCACCATCTTGGCCAGGCTGGTTTGGAACTCCTGACCTCATGATCTACCCACCTCGGCCTCCCAAAGTGCTGGGATTTGGGATTACTGGCGTGAGCCACTGTGCCCAGCATATATATATATAAATATATATATGATGGAGTTTTGTCCTTGCCTCTCAGGCTGGAGTGCAGTGGCACAACTTGGGCTCACTACTATCTCTGCCTCCCACGTTCAAGTAGCTGGAATTACAGGCACCCTCACCATACCCAGCTAATTTTTGTACTTTTAGTAGAGACAGAGTTCACCATGTTGGCCAGGCTGGTCTTGAACGCCTGACTTCAGGTGATCCACCCACCTTGACCTCCCAAAGTGCTGGGATTACAGGTGTGAGGCACTACACCCAGCCTTGGGTTTATATTTTACCTTTTTTTTTTTTTTAGACGGAGTTTCACTCTTGTTACCCAGGCTGGAGTGCAATGGCGCAATATCGGCTCACTGCAACCTCCATCTCCTGGGTTCAGGCAATTCTCCTGTCTCAGCCTCCTGAGTAGCTGGGATTACAGGCACACACCACCATGCCCAGCTAATTTTTTGTATTTTTAGTAGAGACGGGGTTTCACCATGTTGACCAGGATGGTCTCGATCTCTTGACCTCGTGATCCACCCGCCTCAGCCTCCCAAAGTGCTGGGATTACAGGCGTGAGCCACCACGCCCGGCCCTTATCTTCTTTTTTAAAGTGATTGACACCTATCTCTATTTAATTGCTATTGAATTTTTGTTCTCTGTGCTAGATTCCTGACTGCAAGTTATAGTTATTGGACGACATTCTGTCAAAAGCCAGAGGAGTCTGCTTAATTTTGACATTTTAGAATAAGGGAAGGAATAAACAGATTGTAACATTGTTACAACTAATAAAAGCTGAACTATTATATCCTTTTTTGAAGAGCCAATAAATGAACTTTAATAACATCTTAGCCATTATTGTTTCTATTCCAAATGTACAGTTCCTTTTCTTTCTTAAAAAGAATCAGGTAGGTCACAGTGGCCTACACTTACAATCCCAACATTTTGGGAGGCCAAGGTGGGCAGGTTGCTTGAGCCCAGGAGTTTGAGACCAGCCTGGGCAACATGGCAAAACCCTATCTCTACCAAAAATCCACCCTCGCCCCCCCCCCCCAAAAAATAGACTTGGTGGAGTACACCTATAGTCCCAGCTACTCAGGAGGCTGAGGTGGGAGGATCACCTGAGCCCAAGAGGTTGAGGCAGCAGTGAGCCATGATCACACCGTTACACTACAGCCTGAGACTCACTACAGAGTGAGACCTTGTCTCAAAAAAAAAAAAAAAGAAAAAGAGAAAATAATCTGTTCTATTTAATCCCAGCTAGCAAGACACACTTTTCCTTTTTGTACTCAGAATTTGCCCTGACCACTAATTGGTGTTAGAAAGATAAAGAGTGGTTTTTAAGAAAAAAAGAATGTATAAAAATTAGCATAATTTATATCTGAAATAATCAAACTGTAAAGTTACAATTTCCAGCTATGTGACTATGACAGTTGAACTGTAAAATACAACTCATAAATATTTTGGAGGAGTATCAAAATTTGCTCTTTTTTTTTTTTTTGAGATGGATTTTTGCTCTCGTTGCCCAGGCTGGAGAGGCGTGATCTTGGTTCACTGCAGCTTCCAACTCCTGGGTTCAAGCAGTTCTCCTACCTCAGCCTCCCAAGTAGCTGGGATTACAGGCATGTGCCACCACACCAGGATAATTTTATATGTTTAGTAGAGACAGGGTTTCTCCATGTTGGTCAGGCTGGTCTTGAACTCCTGACCTAGGTGATCTGCCCACCTTTGCCTCCCAAAGTGCTGGGATTACAGTGTGAGCCACCACGCCCAGCCTGCTCTTTCTTTAATGGAAAAAGTTCATATAGCTACTTCTTTTGTGTGTGTGTGTGTGTGTAGAATAACAAAAAATATTTTACTAAAACATAAGATTTACAGAAGTTTCCAGACAAGCCATACAAAATGGCCACAAGCTTTTTTTGAAGGGGTAAATCTACACTTAACAGCAAAGTCCACAATGTTATTAGTGAGGGCTGTGATGTTTGTTTCATGTTCCCATTTTGGTTCAAACAAGCTTGTCCATCTACAGCGTCTAAATAAAGTTAGACTTGGCTAGAGAGCATACTTTAAATACCTGGTTAGCTGCTTTTAACCAATGCAGTTAGATCACCATGAAAGGGGGAAAGGAGCCCATAAAATTAAAATATAACTACCTCCCCCTTCAAAAAAATAAAGAAAAACACCCACACCCCTGTAGCTAACATGACAACTACCTTCATTCACAGTGCTTTATACTTAAACCAGGATGGGGGAAATGAGTAAAAGCAGGAAGGGGCCGCTGCTTTTAATCCTTTCACAATAATCCAGATGATACTAAGAGCCTCTGCTCATGCTTTAGGACAGTGAATCAGGACAAGACATAGATTTGCTAATGTGCGTTTAATCACCAAAGACTGAAGATGTCTGGGCTTTTTTATTCTGTAATGTTTCTAAGACTGCATCCATTAAATGCAAACAAAAAGGAAGAAGTCTTGGCAGAACAGGAGAAGTGATGCACACTTGATGATCAGATCAATTTAAATATTATTCATGGCATATAGCCTAGTCCATGCTCTAGCTGTTTCTATGGCTTGGGCTTTGTTGGTCTTCCACTGCTTCGCTACATCATTTGCTAATGGATCATCTGGATTAGGAGCACTTAACAAGGCCTGGATCGATAGCAGAACTCTGTGGATCTGCAGTGCTGGGGACCACTTATCTTTCAAAATATCTAAACATATTCTTCCCAACTTGTCTACATTAGGATGATGAATTTTGGTCATGAAACGTACTTTAGGGGCTGCCATTGGGTATTCTTCTGGAAGGAATAGTTCAAGTTTAAAAGTTCCTCCCTCAAAGGGGGAATCCTGAGGGCCAGCAATGACCATATAAAAATAACGGGCGTTGCTCTCATCTGGTTCTGCTTTGATGCCAGGAACTGGTTCTGCCAGCAAACGCTGGGTTTCCTTGATCCTGCGGGGCAGCCCAGCCATCTTGTCAGAACCCAAGTTCGACCTCTGGTCTCCCGGCTAATTCTTGATATTGCTATTATAAGGATAATAGCAGCTAGGCTTTCGAAGTTACTCATGGCATTAGTTTTTTTTCCCCCCTTTTTTTCTTTTTCTTCCTCGGAAACTGGGAAGACATTAGTTTGTTTATAGAAAATTCTTTTTTTTTGAAGAGGAGGAACATCTGTTAATATGCCTTTATGCTCTTAAAGTATAGTAGTAAAGTTAAACATTTTGTATTTTGCAGCTATGGTTTTATCATTTTAACTATCCACTGTAAAACCTTTTTTATTTTAAAATCCACACTTTTTGCTGAATTTAGCTTCTTAGTAATTGCTTATGTAAGAAATGAATGGCAAAGCAACTTTTAAAACATTGTTTCTTTTTTTTCCCTCAGTCCTTGGTTTTGATCAGCAGACTACCTTATATTCATTTTTTTCACACTGTCCTCAAACAGATAGCACCAGAGTATTTTGAAAAGAGTGAACCTTATTTGGAAGCAGGTAAGTTTAACATTGTGTGAGCTGAGTACCTTTATGAAGGAGTTTTAAAATTTTTACTGAAATTGAGTGACAAAACTGAAGTTGATTTATAAAAATTTATAAAAGTTGAGGTAGGAATTTAAGGAATATATAATAGGAGAAAGATATAAAACTATTTGTCTGGCATCTGTACCAAAACTGTCTTTTGTTATCTCCTCTAACTGCTTTGATGGTGCCTATTATTATTATTAAGATAATAATAAATGAATATCAAGTTGACAGTTTTAATATTCAGAGTTCTATTGAACAAAAATCCTTATGTCACTTGTAACAGATGGAAGGCCTTTGCCTGTTGATGTGCTTTTGTAGCTAATTAGTAGTAATAAATGAATACAAAAACTCCCTATAATACTTAGTTTAGGGCCGGGCGCTGTGGCTCACGCCTGTAATCCCAGCACTTTGGGAGGCCAAGGTGGGTAGATACCTGAGGTCAGGAGTTTGAGACCAGCCTGGCCAATGTGGTGAAACCCTGTCTCTACTGAAAATGTGAAAATTAGCTGGGTGTGGTGGCGGATGCCTGTGATCCCAGCTACTCAGGAGGCTGAGGCAGAATTGCTTGGACCTGGGAGGTGAAGGTTGCAGTGAGCTGAGATCCCACCATTGCACTCCGGCCTGGATGACAGAGCAAGATACTGTCTCAACAACAAATTAGTTTAGGCCGGATGCGGTGGCTCATGCCTGTAATCCCAGCAGTTTGGGCGGATCACAAGGTCAGGAGATCGAGACCATCCTGACCAACATGGTGAAACCCTATCTCAAAAAAAAATACAAAAAACTAGCTGGGCATGGTGGTGCGTGCCTGTAGTCCCACCTACTTGGGATCCTGAGGCAGGGGAATAGCTTGAACCTGGGAGGCAGAGGTTGCAGTGAGCTGAGATCGCACCACTGCATTCCAGCCTGGCAACAGAGCAAGACTTTATCTTTAAAAAAAGTAGTTAGTTTATTGCTTTCAAAAACTGTATTAACCAGTTTATATCCTAGAACATATGAGTATTTCTGAGTGAAATGTAAAATATTTTCATCACTTTGATTTTTTTTTGTCTTTTATCTTTAATTCTTCCCAGTATATATTTTTTTGCTATATGGAAAGTAGTGTTCTAATTTCTAATCTCTTATTTTTAATACTTGATATTTTCACTTATTCTAGGGAAATATTTTGTTATATTTTTCAGCTTGTAATGATGTTGATCGATGGCCTGCTCCAGTGCCAGGGAAAACATTACACCTGCCTATCATGGGGGTAGTAATGAAGGTAATATCTCATATCTTAATTGTCTCCTTTTTATTTTAATTTTTGGGGGGACAGGGTCTTGTGCTGTCACCCAGGCTGTAGTACAGTGGCATGATCACAGCTCACTACAGCCTGAACTTTCCGGGATCAAGCGATCTTCCCACTTCAGTCCCCCAAGTAGCCAGGACTATAGGCCTATAGGCATGCACCACCATGCCTGGCTAATTTTTAAATTTTTTGTAGACAGGATCTCACTATGTTTCCCAGGCTAATTGTGATCTTTTAAAATAACTTTTGGACAGGTGTGGTAGCTCATACCTGTGATCCCAGCACTTTGGGAGGCCGAAAGTGGGTGGATCACTTGAGCCCAGGAGTTCAAGACCAGCCTGGGCAATATGGTAAAACCTTGTCTCTACAAAAAATACAAAAGTTAGTGGGGTATGGTGGTGCACACCTGTAGTCCTAGGTACTTGGGATATTGCTTGAGGCTGGGAAGTTGAGGCTGCAGTGAGCCATGTTTGTATCACTGCACTCCATCCTGCATGACAAAATCAAGACCCCATCTCAAAAAAAAAAAAAAAGAAAGAAAGAAAAGAACTTTGTAGGAAGCTCCCACATGGGCTTTGCTTTTTAACCTTCTATTAATGTTAATCATGTTATTGCTTTCACTTGTTTGTCATTGATGTGTGGCATTACAGAGATACTGCAATTCATTTTGCTTCCTAGAACCACTAGCACACAGCTTCAGGCACTTCTGATCCCATGGCATCCTGTAGAGTTTGCAGAAGAGTGTCATTTGAATGTAATACATGTACATGTAAGTGCTACCTTCTAGAGTTCTGCAGCTCTATGGCCCTACCAGTGCCTCCAGAGATGAGTGATATGCAGAAACAGATCACTTAGTAGAATTGATTATGAATTAATAAAAATTAAGAGAAATTGGGAAAGCTGTTGGTTTCTAGTTCTAAATGATGTTCTTAACATGAGATGTCAGGACCAAACATGTTCATCCCAGGGTATTATTTCCTGTTAGATTTTTCTTTTAAATTAATTAGCATTTTCCTCTCAGACTTTGTATGAGTGTACTGTAAGTGCTTTGCAATTCACTATCGAGTAGGACTTATGACTATGTTCTCTCTGTACATGTGTTCATTTTTATAGGATCTGTATTGTGTTTTTCCCTGGGAAATCATCAAAAGTAATACTGATAGCTCTTTGTTGAGTGTTCTCATTGTTTCCTGTGAGATTTATCCAAACGTCTGGCAAGCTTGAGAGGGTGTGTTTGGGTGTGTGTATATTAATGAAGCAAAGATTGGAACAATAAACAGGAAGCAGTATGAAGCTGATGTCCTTTTTCTGTTTTTCAACATACTTGCTTCTCAGGAAGTTAGTGATTTCTGTGTATATGTGGGTATGGGGACCTTGATTTACTTACTTTTTGCTGTGACTAAAAATAAGTATGACCTTAGTTTTTAACTCTGACATAAATATTTTATTTTTTGTAGCTTTTTTGGCATTACTGACCATACCTTTTTAGCAGTACTTCTCATCCCCTATTCTTTTGTAGCCAAAAATAATTTCCTCTCTTTCTTTAAGGTACGGATTCCCACATGTCATGACAAGCCTGGGACAACTCAAATAGTACAGTTTACTCAGCAGGTAGTGTGGTACTGTGGTAGAATGATCCAGCACATATAGTCTCTTTAACAGACTTTTAAAACTAGCAAATGCAGTTTCTTGAGTTTATTACATATTTCTGAATATTACTGAAATATCACATTAAATAATTTTTAATGAATTGCAAATATGTTCTCTAATGTTTCTTAGGGTGTTTTTTCTTGTTATTTTTCCAGTAGACACCGGAGAATTCAGAAGTTATATTTTAATTCTGACAAAAAGGGGAAAGTGAATTTTTTCTCAACAAGCTTTGATTCTGGGAAAACCTCTTATCTTAGGAGAGTTCTGACTTTAGGAGATTCGGTTAAAAGGATTCTGTAGTTACGATTGCCCTATTTTTCCAAAAGCACCATCTGTTCATGGATAGGGTTGAAGTTTTCATTCGAAATATTTTAACTGGTGTTTTTAACTGGTATACATTTTTTTGTTGTACTTTGTTCTTTGAATTGAATAAAAAACAGCAGTAGGAAAACTAACATTTCTGTCACATATCAATCAGTATTAATAGTAGTATTTCATACAGTTGCGAATTAATCTAATCTTGACTATTAGATTAATTTCTTTTTTTTTTTAAACAAGGAGGAGGTCTCCCTCTGTCACCCAGACTAGAGTACAGTGGCATGATCATAGCACATTGCAGCCTCTAATTCCTGGGCTGAAGTGATTCTCCCACTTCAGCCTCCTAAGTAGCTAGGACTATAGGTGTATGCCACCACACCTGGCTAATTTTAAATATTTTATTGTACAGATGGCATTTTGCTCTGTTGCCTAGGCTGATCTCGAACTCTTGGCATCAAGCCATCTTCCCTCCTGGCTTTCCAAAGTGCTAGGATTACAGGCATGAACCTGGGATTAACTTTTTATCCAAGATATCTATGTATGCTTGATCTTCTGCTATATTAGGGAAGATTGTTAAGACCCATTCTCTCTCTGGCTGCTTCTAAAGGAAGAGAATCTTAAAAGTTAGATAGAACAACATGGCTTATTGATCACAAGATAGATATACTTTGAATTTTCTGTAAATTTTGGTGATATCTTCTCTATTATTTTTCTTTTTTATCTCTCAGGCAGACACAAATATATCTGTTATTTTACCTACTGTTCATGAGGTGGATCTTTTCAGGTAAAGAATAAAAAATTTTGTTAACTGACTTTTCTTTCTTTTGCTTTGTGATGGTGGTGATAATATATTAAAAAAAGAATGTTCTTATATAGAATGTAGAAAAAAATGGGAAGAAAATAGTTACTATGGTTTACATGTTATAAATCTATGGTTCATCCCTGGCTACATGTTATAAGCTTTGACAGTTAGGGAAATTTGGATATACAATATGTAAAAATATTTTTTGTTTGCTTTGGTGTGAGAATTATATTGTAATGATGTTAGAAAACGTGATTTAAAAAAAAACATGCATTTTATTTGGGAGTGAAATGTCATGAGGTTTGTGTATTATTTTTAAATACTTCAGTAAGAAAAAAATAGATGACATAAAATGGCAAATATCATTAATTATTAAATCTAAGTGATGTGTATGTTGATGTCTCTCACTATTTTTTTTTTGTATGTTTGAAAAATGTCAACATGAAAAATGAAAAAATAAAAAAGTGATACTGTTAGCATTTAAAAAAGAAATAGAG